TCAAGAGGAAAGAATTGGAGGCTACAGATGATCTTTTGGAGAGCTCTATTCCCACTAGAAATACCCTTACCATAAAAGTGAGGAGAAGGATGAAAAAATATATACTGTGGTAATCTCCAAAGGTAGTGCAGTGCCAGAATGTGAAGAAAGTGGCTGATTTCTGAGCCAGAGCTGGTAGAGCCTAGTACCAAGATCTCTGCTGTCCAGCTGTGAATCTCAGAAGTGCTCAAGTATATTCTCCTGCATGCAGTGACACACCAGCATAGCTTTGCTCTTAGTCACTGCCCCTTTTTCAGAGTGCTTGCAACAAACGAGCTCAGGTACTTAGCTGTGGGATTTTTATCAGAGCTTGTTTTGAATCCTTCGTGTGCATACAGTCTGCAAATGTATGCCAAATAATCTTGGCTGAAATGAAGATATTTCAAAGATGTAAATAGGGCTTGCATGGGCTATAAGGAGTTTGGTGTGAGTTTGGGGTTGGGTTTTTGCTGTTGTTGTTTAAGTACACACAATACTAATTAGCCACAAAACACTTGCCCCTGAGAATGCAAATTGTAATGTTAGTTCTGGGAATGTTTTCACGTTTGCCAGCTCACACATTGTGCAGTGCCTCATCAAAATGGATTGTGTTAGTCGTTTGATGCTTCAGCTAACAAATATGAGAAAACATGGATTATTTTAACAATGATTAAATGAACATATGTGAGCTTTTCTGTAGGAAAAAAGATTTAAAAGTGTTTTTTTTTCTTTTTTTCATTTTGCAAAAATGAATGCAACATTACATCTGTGGGGATTCCTGATTATTTGAGATAAATACAAAAAATTTGGCACTTTCTCCAGAATTTGTTGTATAGTTTGCAGTATGTTCCATTCATTTTTTATGCTCTCTTTTCTCTCAAAACAACTTCTCATTTATTGTTCAGATGTAATTAGTTAGAAGAGGATACTTCACTCTTTTTAAAATACTGGCAAAAATATCAGTACAAAGGTTAGATTGTTTTATAGTTAATAGTAAATTATTGTCTTACCTTTGTTTCTCTACATCAATGGTAGAATTTTCCTTAAAAATATTACTATCTGCAAAATATATATTCTATTCTGTGTAAGCTTTCAAATTTAAAAAAGGGGAGGGAGAAAATGATTTATAAGGTTAAATTTCCTGGAGGAAAAACTTCAGTCCAGGGAAAAAGCCATAGCTAATTTCCAGGGTAAACTGGACCACATTATGCTTTTAGGGAAGCTGAAAGGAATTTGAATCAAAGCAGTGCCTGTAGGGCTTTGTTTTTGTTGAAGAAAGGCTATGTGGTGTTTGTCCCAAGGCAGACTGATTCCAGTAAATCGCCTGCATTTTCTCTGAGACATATTTGGGAGATGTAAGGTAATATAATCAAATTCTAATCTAAAAAGTATCTAGGTAAATCCAGGTAATTCTGAAATAAAGGAGTGTATTTCATTTTCTAGTGACTGACAACACAATGTGGCCTTTTAACTGTACGAATGAAGTTAACCTGCTTGCTCATCTAAATCCATCTCCAGAACAACTCTACTTATTCCATAGTAGAATTAAGACTTATGATTCAAAATAGCTAAATCCTACCTGGCTGCAATACAAAAATCAGTGCAGGAAGTAATATGTGACAGATACCAGCGTAAGTGTGTATGTGCATAAGTGTGTATGTGCATCTAGAAAGCATCATAATTGTTGATGGACAAATAAAGTGCAAGTATGTTAGGGAGGTGTCCCAGGTGTTGGGAAATAATGAAAAAATATGTTCATGAAGTACTAGAGACTTCTGTAAGGTTTATTCTTAAGACAATCATGTTAACCTAAAAGTGTTCATGAAGAAAGCAAAAAGTATACTGTTACAGCAGACTCTATAAGAATGTAAATGCAGCTTGAAGCATGCTTTATTCATGAATTTCTCAAACTATTGAGACTTTAAAGTAACAAAGGTAAAGTAGTTCCCTGTTTAAAAAGCTAAAATGTGAAATATGTATTTAAAAATAAATTATACATAAATGTGATTTATAATTTATTGGCTATAAAAGTTTTATCACAGAAACAAGGAAAATAGGGTATATGTAAATACAAAAAAGCAAAATAAATACTTTCATAAGCCTGGTGCAGAGAACAGAGTACACTTGGAATTTTTTTTTTTGAATATAGCTGCGATCTAAGAGACACTCATGAAATGGCAGAACTCAAGGTATTTTTTCCATTAGAAACATAATTTTTTCTGCTTTGGTAGTAAGCTGTGATGTTCTCTGGCATGCAGTGACGGTGTTAATCCAGTTCAGTAACACTCTGTTAAGCAGAGCAATGTGTACATTAGTTAAAATAGCCAAGTCTCAAATTTGTTGTATTCAGGTAGCCAAGAAGTCCTGATTTCACCCTGTGATTTTTATAATGCATCTGCCCGAGTTAAGTGTCACAGGCTTGGCAGAGCTGCATATTTAATAGCAAGGGCTACATGAGAATCAGAGACTATAAAAGAAGAAACATTTCAGGCTTTCTAAACCAACCGCACTAGCCTGTGAGCAGGGCTAGTGTGCAGCCTCAGTGTCGTTCAGCACTCTGTCTTCCTCCACTTAAATACAGTGAAAATATGGGCTACATCTAGATGTATTTAAATATATGTATAATTAGGAATTTAATGGCCTGTGTTGTTCTGATTCATTCAAGATTAATTGTTAACTGTAAGAAATTGATTACATTCATGACTCTGCTACACATCCATTTTGGCGATGAGTACAGAAAACACACAGACAAAGCTGCTAGCAAGCTTGTCAATAATGCTAGCAACTGTATTCCAAAAAATATTCCGATTGCTTTACATTCTGGAACCTTACTAAGTTATGCAGCTGCCAAGACCAAGTTTCCACTTGGAAATTTTACTCTGAAGCTCATTTTAAGACTAAAACAGAGGTTACCAGGTATTTCTATTCTCCCTCATCATTCCAGTAACTTCATAGGAAGCATTTGAAGCATGAACTGGGCTTCTGTGGTGAATGACACAGTTTACGGAAAAATGCCTGATGGCAGGGCTTAGCAGAAAAGGGAAAGAATACCGATCTTCGATAGTTTAGTATTTAACATTTTTATGCATGTATTTTAGACTGGAGGTTAATGGGTTAAATGTTTGCCTTGCTACATTGCAAACAGGTGACTAATTTTAACTGAATAATGAATTGATCAAAAATAAGGTTTGATAGGATCACAATATTTTAATCGACTTAAAGTTTAGTAAAGGCTGTAGGTTTAGTAAAGAAAAATGGAGAGAAGGAATGAAAGGATGGTCTAAAAAACTAAAATATTTAATTTTGACATGTTCAGAATTATACTGCCTGCATTGTCCTTCTATGTTTTCTCCTAAGAATGACCTATTTAAAAATATATAAATGAAATTAAACCAAATATTTATTTTTTGTTGAATTAATTGTTTCAGGTTAGACCACAACAAAATCTGGTTTTGTGTATTTCAGAAAAAAATCTCAAAATTTTTTTATGATTTAATTTGATTAAAACTATTTTCAGAATCTTTACCTTAGTCATTGAAGCAAAATGTCCATTATTTACTGAGTTTTAATTACATATCTAATTACAATTTTTCTTCTCTGAGGCACTTCATTCTGTATACTCCTTCTTTAGTCTTTCCCCTCACTGTTTTAAGCCTAAAATTCACTGAAATAAATACAAGTTTAAATATGAATAAATGTCAGTCTTTTTACTTAGCTTTATTTTGATTCTTCAGTTAGACTTCATTGCTTAAGGAAAAGGAGAGCTCCCTTCTGATAACCATTACAGTAGTTATTCTTTTATCTCTGGGACATTTACCAGAAGGTGGTACAAATATATACAGGCAGCACAAGTACATCTTCTTCACTTTCCTGAATCCACCTCTTCCTGCTCCTTCTGCCTGAGCTTTTCTTTTTCTTTGCCTTTCTTTGTCCAGTTCCTTTTATCCTTATACCTATATTTATACCGATCATCTATATTCTCCCTGGTTGGGGTTCTCTATTTTCTTTCTCTTCCTGATCTCCTCCCCTGTGATGTAAAACTAATTGTTTTCCTGTTCTGAATGTGAGAGACAAGTAATAAAGCAGCAGGACTTGAAGTATTTATTTTTATGATCTCTTCAGATATTAGAATCCAAAACAAAGTGAACATCCTTAAAAACAAGTCCAGTACTATTAAAGAGTACTTGTCTCTGGAAAAGGGGTAGACTGCAGCAACACACGGCAGAGATGACAACTGGGAAACTTCAGATTTCAGAAATACTAGATTTTTAAAAAATATGGGAGCTGACTTAGGCTATTGTGGCAACCAAGCAAGAGGATCTTCAGAGATCTTCAGGAGTTCATCCTTGAGAGCCTTAGCATGGTTCCACAAAAGCCCTGTCCATCTCCAGCAGAGCGTTCCTTGTTAAACAGAGCAAATACCAGGCAGGTATGATATAGTGAGGTGAAGAGTGTCTCAGTGGCTCTCAGATGTTTTCTTCTTTCTGTTAATGCCCCTGGTTAACAAAGGGGTCTTTCTCTTTTTTTTCATAGACTTTAATTTTTTCTTTTTTTGTCTGTTGCTGACCCAGAAGGAGACTGTTTAGTGTATTACATGTAGGACAGCATGAGTAATGTTAAACTATTAGTAAATCAGTGAGCACTTTAAATATTTTATCCATTTTAATTCACAATGGAACAAAAAGAAAATCACTTAGCAACACCTAACTATGCAAAGCTAGTGTCTGAACATTTACTGGAATGTCTGCACCATCTTTGTAACTTAGCCAATTCTTTAGACAGTCTAGCCTTTTTTTTAACCATCTAATACTTCCCCCGTTAATGTTGCTAAACAGCCCCTTTCTTTGATGTGCTCCTCAGATGCCTGTCTCAGACTGTATTTAATTTCATTCTTTCTTTGAAAGGCTGTAATCTTATTTCTCTTTACTCTGTTACAGCTGTGCAAATTTAAATGAATTTACTTTCTCCATAGATTTACATGGCCAAGAATAGAATTTCATCACCCAGAGATGCTTGCTCTCAAAACATTTGTGCAGGGCAGCCAAGGGGAGTTGATGAATACCAGGTAATTCTGGGCATTGGGGTACTTCATTTATGCTTTTAAGTGGGAGTTGAGCTGCTTAGTAAAATTTGCTGATCATAGAAAGCACTGTTAGTACTGCCTGTAGATAAGTGACATTTGTCTTTGAAACTTTCCAGCTTTAATTGTTATAGATAAAGCTCTTTGGACAAGCTGGTCCCTGAAGTGGAATAAATGTGTCTCTTTGCTGACTATGGGTTCCCTTACTATGTTTTTTTTGATATATTTGTGTAACAAATAACTTTAAAATTTCGGTAGGAAAATGCGTCTCTTTGCTGACTATGGGTTCCCGGCTGCTGTTCTTGCTGCTTACTGATGTAGCAATAGTCTGTTCTCTTAGTCTAAAGGTTTTGAACCTTCTAATGATTAACAGAGAAATAGAAAAAAAAAACGTAGTAAGGTTTTTCCTTCTAGAATCTCTCTATTTAAATCAGATTTAGTTTATTAGGAAGTTAATACTTCCAGAAATAAACTAACAAGGGTAAAAGCTGAAAAATCAAATGCTTTTCAATAACAAAACAGAAGCATGAAAGTTGTTCTTGTGTCTTTTCGTGATCATGCGTACATGGTAGGCTCAAGTCAAGTTCACTTTTTCTCATAGTGTCTCACATATGTAATATTGTATGTAAAGTTTACATTAAATATAAAATCTTAATTTTTCTTTTGCCATTTGTATAAAACTCTTCTCATAATATACAAATACATCAAAGGCATTAATGACTATACCTGCACTTAACACCTCTGAGGTAACTGCGAAAGTATTACATAGACCATTTAATTAGCTGCCTATTACTTTGGGTACCTAGAGTTTGTATTTTCAGAGTCCTTTGCACTTTGTATGCTGAAAACACAGATCCCATTGGCTTCAGTTGCAGTTGTCTTCTGCGGATTGCATCAAGGTGCCTCAAAGTAGGTTTCTGGAAAAACAACTACACAATTTATGAACGCCTATGAAAATGTTCTGTTGTAATTGACTGGTCCAGCATTGCATAGACACTTAGCAGGAGGGTCTGGAGCAGAATCCAGTATTGTGAGAGAAGATTCAACTGTTTTAACCATGCTACTAGCCTTTTTAACACCATCTTGCTCATAATATAACTTCTAGCTTCTAAAATGAGTGATGCAAAGGACATAGAGAAAGCAACTTCATTCAGTTAAGCATCATCCAGCCAGTTAATGGAGAACATATGTATATATGTAATTAAAAGTTATATCAAAATGCCTATATAAAAACAGAATAATATGAGTTGCACACTGACATAATTTAATGAAGCATATTTTGGGCTAGATTTTTCTTGATAAATCTTAGTTCTGTAGTGTATTTCATTCAGGTGTGTACATATTTCCATATTTTGTTTTCTTATATGTGCTTATTGTAACTTTGGACCTTTCCTTTCATTTCCTTGGATAATTTTTCTGTCTTCCTGATTCATTATCATTTGCAATTGTTTCTATAATTCCTGTCTTTTTTGTATATAGTTTTCCACAATTTAATCTGCTTCTTGGCAGCGTATTTGAATCTCTCAATCATCTGCTGAACTACATAGTTTTGATCTCATTTTGTGTTTATATTCCTAAGTAGCTAGCTTTAGTGACTTGTTATGATCTCCCACTCTCCTTCCATTTCTTTTACTACCTTTTTGATGTTGGGGGGGTTCCTATCATTACTTTTTTTTTTTAATCTTCCTGCTGTTTTGCTTCTAAATGATATTTGCATTTTTAACTTCGGAATTACCATTGTTGCAGTTATCATATTTTTCCATCCATGACTATTAGCTTACCAAGTAGGACTCTGTACGTTCATACTGTACTGTTTTCTTCTTGCACTATTTTTTTCTTGGTAGTCGTGGCTATTTCAGCTTGGTACATGATACAGGTTGAATTATTTTAATCAAAATAGGTATTTCTGTGGTACATGCATTGTAGTGAACACTATCACAAAAAAGGGACATACTTTCCTGTGAGAGAAAGAGTATTTATCCATTTTATGGACTGAACACCGGAATACTGATGTATTGAGGGCTACATGAGAAATAGAAGGAGGAACTTTAGCTAAACTGAGATTCTTTGAAAAAGGCGCTTCAAACAGAAAAGTTTTGTTTTTACACTTCTAAAATTTCTGAATTAAATATATTTGTACTGAAAGCTTGCTGATTGATATTTCACAAGATTTTCCAATGAGTTTTTTCTTTTAAAACACCAATATCAAAATGTTAGATTCCTGGGTTATCTGCTTTGTAAGCACCTCATCTTCCATGGTCAGGTGACTCCTGCCATGCCACCACTATTGTACTCTCCCCAGTGACTTCTTTTTTCTATGAGACATGATTGGGTAGTTTGGCCAAACTAAGTTATTTTCAGAATTACTAATACAGCTTATATTTAGGTTGCTCATAATTAAAGCTGTTATGTAGTATTACCCTCTTCAATAGTGTCTCAAAGGTTCTGCCTGACAAGCTAATGATTTGGACCCAGAAGTAGAAGTCAATGTTATGATCACATATGTGCCCCAGAGGAATTCTGTTACCTGTTTTGGGGCACTTCATAAACCGTAGTTTAAGAACATACACTTAAATGCGCACCTGTTAAGGCTCATTCTTATCTCATTTACGCTGGTATAAATCACACTGAAATTACTAGAGTTACATCGCTGTTGTACTGAGAGCAGAAGCAGACTGATTAAATTCATGTTAATTGGCACTAATTGGCAGTAAGGACTTGAAGAGGATAAAGTTTTTAATAAAGCATTAAATAGACAGATGATCTGTCTAAACTGACCAAAGGCATTTTCTTATTCTAAGAAACGCTGTTGCCTTATTAGTCATGTCCTAAAGCTAATTTTCAAACTCAAATCAGCTTGCCGGTCTTGAATTATGTGGATTCCTAGGGAATCTTGATAGTAAGCCTGGTGTTACTGCTAATGTTGCTTTCCAGTGCTCACATGAACTCTCATGTTGGTGACCTACACCTCCAGTGTCAGGGCTAATTCAACACAAAACCTCCAGGAATGTTCCCTTCCCATTCCTTTAGCTGCTGTCCACTGCTGTCGAATCTGAGTACATTCTGAAGAGAGTATTTTTCTCACCCATATTCCTTTCCTGAACTGCAAATCATATTCACCAGGCTACATTTCCTCACTTGGAAGAACTTTCTCACTTCTTCTCTCTCTTAAGAGCCTTCTAGTAGTGATGCCAAACTCTTCCTTAAAAGTTTGAAAATCATGGCTACTTGGCTTTGCACATAGCACACGGTGTACTGTAGTTCCTTGTTCAAATAGATGAGAAAGAGAAAATTGTGGTGAATGTTACTGAATCATACTGAATTGGTATTCAGCATTTGCATTTTATGTATTCATAGTGCATGTAGTGTTCAGGGAAAGGTGGGCTGCCTGTGTATGTGTGCATTTGTACATATAGATACATATATGTTTGTGCATACTGTATGTATATATGTGTGTGTGTGTGTATAGATGTACATATACATACACAAAATGCAGCTATGTATATAGTTGGATTCATTACCTGTATCTTGTGTTAGTGGGTTAGTACAGCACTGATAAGCTCCATACAGGAGACGTCTATCGAGCTGATTTGTCCAATTACTGAACATGAGTAGGAACATTACCACGTCCTGCATGTGGAAGTGCTTAGGAACTCTTTGTTGATGTCTGGTGAAAATAAAAAGAATGAGTTCTTGAGAGAGTCCACCCCAAATCCTGTAATGCAATGAGGTCAGTATTCCTAATTGTGCAGAGCAGAGGCAGCCAGCAGAGGCCAGGCTGCAGAACCTTGCAGAGCATGAGGCACTCATCTCCTTGATATAAGCTCGCTGTGATCTGGCCATTCTGGAGAAACATGCTGCTCAGCAACTCATTCATTACTGTTTGAACCACTGCAATTTAAGGTTAACCTGTGAGGCAATTCTGCTTTTGTTTGGCTTTACTGATGATCTGTCTCTACCTTAAGTGTGTACTTGCCAGTATGTATTAATGATTTAATGCTTACCCAAGGCCTACTACTGTCATTGGAACTCTTTCCACAATATAACGTACACAGACTCTGGCTAGACTAAATGCTTAGAGTACTGAATATTGAAGTAAGTGTATACTTACACTATATTCTAAACTGCTTAAAACATTTATTTTCAGCTTAAGCTTAAATTAAAACTCTAATTTTGCAGGTGTAATATTTGCAGGATGCAATTAACCATGAGTTAAATATTAGATTGCCATTGCAAGAATTTAAACACCTCAGTCCTTGCTTGTGCCCACTCACTAGGGGATTTAGATGTGTGCTTCCTTCATAATTTTCAGTAGTTCAGTCTCCCCAGTGGTAACCAGTGCATGCAAATCTAGCACTTAACAGAGTTACTTAGTGCTTTGAGCATTTTTTCATGCTGCACTTGCTGGGTTAATAATGATATTATTTGGACGTGTGGAAATCTGGAGATAGCGGAAAGAAGGGAAAAAGGAAGGTAATTCAGCTTTCTTGCTTCTTGCTTCTCATTTATTCTTCAGTGTTATTATATATCGTATGTTTCTGATTTAGAATCAAACAAATTAGTTCCTGACTAGGAACTTTTAGAACAAAGTTTTTCATAAAGCAAATTTTTACTTTAGCTTAGTCACCAGCATGCTTACAATTTAAATCCCTAAAAAGAAGGATAATAAAAAAGCCCTGGCACATACATGCATATTTGCAGTGGCACAAATGCATTGCTGTAATAATAAGATTCCACAATTTTCTGAATAAGTGAACATTCATCATTCTGATTCAATGAGTTGTTCTCAGAGGATGCCTGCTAATGGTAACCACAGAAAAGGGGACCTGTAGATAGTGTGTATATTCTTCTTCACATGCAGTTCCTGACTTCTGAATATTTAGCTATTCTGAAACACTGAAGCAATTTCTCCCTGGTGAGATTTTTGGCTTCATCCTCTGTAAAAGCCGTACCAAGCAACCAGATAGTAAGAAGTCTCAGTAATT